ACCCAAAGGTGGACGACCACATCTCTTACGCCTACCGTACATCTTCTTGGCAGTACGTGTAAGGGGCACCGAACTCGGAGCCGGGACCTCGTCATCGGTAGTCTCCGAGCTCAAATCCAGGCGCTCGGTACCGGTACTAATAACAGCCATGTCTTCGTCAGACTCCGGGGGGCCGGTGAGATGACGCCTCAGGTTCCTCGAGCGCCGCCTCTTCTCTCGTCGATTTTCCCGTCCTTGTTCTTGTCGGACTCCACCCCACCGACGAGACATCTGCATATCGATGATACGCGCTATCCTGAGCTCATTCTCCTCTTGCTCACGTTGCTTTTTCTCACGTCTTCTCTCGTCCCTCGCAGCTTTCTCCTGCTCCTCTCGTCTTTTTTTCATGCGTTCTTCCTTTTCTTGTCGCTTCTTCTCCTTAGCCTCCTCTTTAGCCAAAAGCATAGCCACCAGGTCTTTGGTTGGGTCCTCGCCTCTACCCGAGCGACTCTCAATTCTATCAGCCGAGGGAGACCTCCTGGGAGGTTCCCACCGAGCGCGCCAAGGAGATGAAGCTCGCTGCGGTTGGTAGACCGTAGAACGCTCCTTCGATGCCTCTTCAGGTTCCAACCGACCCCGATCGGACTTTTCCTTCTCCTCCTTCCAATACAGACCGCAATCCCTCGCGTAATGACCATAGTGTCCACAGGAGTAACACTGAGGTACCCCTCTGCGCCCGGATTGGCCTCCACTAGTTCCTTCATCCGGTGGTGGCTGCTGACTTGTGGACGCCAAGCCGTACTCCCAGGACGAGCAGCCGCTTCGTAAATTTCAGTGGCTCTTCAAGCGGTCTCTATAGCGTGTGGGACACCAAAGTACGTACAGTATCTTCCGTCTCTTCAGTCAAAGCTTAATCACCAAAGCGGAGCAGCAACCCTCCGTCGGTTATTAAGTGCTTGCGCAAGGGCAAAGATGCATGCACACACATACGTGGCACATAGTCAATTGATGACAACAGCAGAAAAGAAGACCCGCGTAGCAGGATGTCGAATTGGAAATATTAGCGTCATCAAAGTCCCATCCCCTTTCGCCTCCACCAACGTTCCACATCCCCAGAAACCGCCGATCAATCCTCGAACAAAATAGGCAGCCACATCCATCAGCTGTCGCGAAGCGCAGCTGAGGGATTGGGCCCAAATGCGAGTCCGCTGTGAGAGGAGTAACAAAGAATACGAAAAGCTATATATAGCCCGTACGCAACTAACAAGTACAAAGCAAATAGCCTAACTCCTACTGCAAAAAACAACGAATGAGACTGGCTGTCAGGTGCCAGACCGGGCCCCTTTTCACAGCAAAATTATCCAAGACCTTGACAAAAAGGTCCACCGGGAAACCCTTCCGGGCGTAGGCCATTTTCAGCAGAATGACCTGCCCCGGAATCTTCTCTCGGATCGAGGTGTTTCGGTCGATACGCGTAAGCCAACCGGAGATAGCTGCGGCCCTGATCAACAGGTCCCGGTTCCGCTTCAGGCTGTCCTCATTTCGGATTTTCTGAAAACAACCTAAAAAGGGTTGTCGTTCGCCGATCTCCAGATGGCAACCAAGAAATTCCCAGGCGGTCCCTGCCTTGAGTCCCCTAACTTTTCAGAGAGGCTCATTCGAATTCTCCAGATGCTTGTGGTTTAACCAGGAAAACAAGCAACAAAAAGAAAGAAGGGGAAATTTTTGAAATGCCCCTCCGACTTCCATTTGTTGGTGGTATGCCCCTCTGACGGCCGACTTACCCTGTTGCGGCCCTCTGACAATGATTGAAGTTTCCGAAGAAACCCCTGGTGTCGTTTGGGCCTGATATATGTTCAAAATGCCCCTACCGGTACCGGTTCCAAATTTCCAGTATGCCCCAGTAGCTCCCCTCCCAGGGCCAGGGCAACGGCCATGAGTGCACCCAACGGTCGTAGGGGCATGCTTGAAAGTTGCACCCCTCACTGACAGGGGCCTGCAGGAAACTTCAGAGGCCCCAGGGGCACGACAGGGTAAGTTGGCCGTCGGAGGGGCATACCGCAAATAAATGGAAGTGGGAGGGGCATTTCGAAAAAAATCCCAAGGAAAAAACAAAAGTCAGTCAACGAGTAGCAGACACCAGAAGGGTAAAAATTTATCAAAATCATAATGACATCAATGCAAAAAATGTTGGATTTAAAAAAAAAAAAAAAAAAAAAAATGTTGGATTGGACATAACATGACAACAAAGAGATATTGTCCATGCAGACGATGTCCAAGAGCAAATTCCCAACTCCCTCCCAACAATGCAGTGCACCTGGTCAATATCTTGAGGCTGGAGCAAATAGAGAACGGGAGCGAGAAAGAGAGGGTGTTAAAGAAGAGGCAAACTCCCAACTCCCTCCCAACAATGCATTGCACCTGGTCCAGTGAAAAGAGGTGAGGAAGAGATGGCAGAAAAGTGAAGATATTGAAAAAAAAAGAAAAAGAAGTGACGATATCAAAGAGAAAGAACGGGAAAAAGAGATAGCAGAAGGTCAAGGAGAATGAAGAAGAACAAACTGCTCCACCTCTCGACAAACTTTCTCATCTGAACTGATTCCAGTGAACAAACTGGCTTGAACGTCTCCCTCCTCTCCTTCCTCTCTCTCCTCTCTCCTCTCTCCTCTCCCTCCTATAGAAGTGCACCACAGACAGTCACCCATTGCCTCTTTCACTCCCCTCACTTTTGTAGCCAGAGCAGTAAGACAACACACGCAGACTCTCTCTCTCTCTCTCTCTCTCTCTCTCTCTCTCTCTCTCTCTCTCTCTCTCT